CGATTATTCTAGCGTCATGGAGACAAATTCAAAAGAGCCGCGTTGTTTTTTTATTTTTTTATTTGTTGTTGTTAATTTTTCTTCTTCTTTTCGACACTTCGATGCTTTGGGTATCCGTGTAATCTTTTTAATGTATTGAGCCCACAAATTGGCAAACGATTCAGGGCCGAGCAGAGCTTGCCACCAAATTCCCTCGCCTGATTATTTACAGTTAGCTGCTATTATTCACACTTGATATTCCAGATAACTATAGATAGATAACTTTGTCCATTTAACTCTTGGACCGAGCCGTGTTACGATTACGCCAACAGCAGCACCAGCACCAGCAGCAGCAGCAGCAGCAGCAGCTGCGTTAACGCCGGCTGCGACGCCGGCCACTAATCACTCCAATTAGCTAGAAAGTGTTTTTTGTTTAAAATTCGCACGTTGTCGCCGTTTCTTGGCATTGTATTGTGCGACAGGCAGCCAGCCAGACACTTGGCCGCAGCAGAGTTCCAGAAACAGGACCAATTGTTTTTTCAGTGATTGTGTGAGTGATCCTTCTTCTCCATACAAGTGTTAAACAGTTAAATGAAGCAATAAGAAGAAAGACAGTAATCATCGTAACCAATCAACCAGCTACCACTAACCAATACCCAAGCAGAAATAACAATAAAAGCATAAAAACTTAAAATGAAATATAAAAAAATAAACTAAACTATACAAAAGCAAAAAAAAAAAAAAAAGGAAATAAAAACAGAGTAAATCTATGCAAAAGAGCCAAAGAAGAAACTTAATAAAGCGCACGGCAAACTTGAATGCATGGCAAAAGCACAGTGCCAACCAAAAAGCAACCAACAGCAACAACAAACATTATTCCAACGAAACTTGATTACTCTTCAAACTAAACTAAACCTACAATTTATGTGCAACAAATAATGACTTGTGATCTTAAAGCTTAAAAAAAAAAAAAAGTTTGCATAAAAAGAAAATTAATTGGTTTGCTGAAACTTAGAATTTATTTTTTGGTTTTAAAAAAAAAATTTCAATTCGTTATACATTTGTTGCACTGCCCAAATTTGCTTTAAATAAATAAATTGCATTCACAAAATGTAATCAAAATTTCCATTTCCAATCAATGTAAGAGTTAAGCTTTGAGAAATTAGTTTCCAAATTGTGAATTTTGGTTTTGTGTATATAAAAAAAAAAAAAAAAAATTTAAATAGTCGTTACAAGATAAATGAATATATAAGTAAAGGAAGAGCACTTGGGATGAGTGTACTGTACAACTGGTTTAACATAAACCTCTCAATGAGGGTATTTTTTTGTAGAGTTGTTAGTTGTTTTTTATACTTTTATTTATTTTATTTTATTTTTATTTTAGTTTTTTTTTGAAAGGCCGGCTAAAGCTTGTCCGTTCACCAAGTGCCCACTTATTGTTGAAAAGGGCAGCGACAGCCTCGTTTTGGCAGTCAACGAAACTAAAAACTTTTGCTTTTGGTATTTGTAATTTTATTTTGATTTCGTATTTCGTTGTACACGAGTTTCTGGCACATGCCAAAACATGGCCACTTAAGGCCCAATCTATATTGTGTGTGCACACGTATAATGCAGATTAATCGTATGTACATCGCTTATATATATACATATATATGCGCTATGTGTGCTTTTCGATGTTTTTGCATATTTTCGTATTTATTTATTTTTTGTACCTATCCTTCTGTGGTTTTGTGGTTTGTAATTGAGCGCGCTCAAAAATGGCCAAAAGACAAATTGTAAAGTGACTAATTTGATGCAAAAATCAACGATTGAAACCACAAAATATGAACAAAAGTGTAGCAATCTAGGCATGCAGCTTAATAATTTGAAAATGTAAATGTGTCGTGTACTTAGAATAATAATTTTTTTTTTTTGTTGCTCATAATTAATAATAATGCCGTTATTGTTGTTGTATGTGACCGAGGCGCGTGTCTGACCAAAAAAAAAGCAAATAAATAAATAGAATAATATTAAAATATAATAATAATAATAATAATAGGCGAGCCGTAGCAAAAAGCGTCGCCCACACGCAGCAGCTATTAAACAAAAAATAAAAATATAAAAAAAAATCATGCACAAATGAAGAAAATGGGCCATAATTGTACCATTTCTGGCAGCGGCTCAATTGAATTGTTATATTCCTAGCGATACATATAAAAAATATATATATATATAATTTAGATACATATATATCGATGACTGGCTGCTATTGAAATACAAATTAACTGTTTATCACTTTGTGTAGTTCACCCCATAATTAATTGACAGCGAGCTGCAAAATGATCTAAACTTACTTGCCACAGTAGTTTGTACTCGGCAAGCGCAGAGGGAAACATTAAAACAATTAAATACTAGAAATGAAAATACCAATTGCAGAAACCCACACATATTTGACACAAGCACGTGCACCAAAAAAAAAAATATATATATATATATATATATATATGTATAGAAATAAAATAAATATACAAAATTCTCGTTAATTTGAGGTAAAGTTTGTGGTGCGTGGTACCAAAAACAATTGCTCAATGTTGCCTCATCTTGATTGACTCGACTGACGTCAGCATCATTATAATCATCCTAATTGTTATTATTATGATCTGTTGTTGTTGTTGTTGTGTAGCAAGTTCTTCTTGTTGTGGCATGTTGTATTTTATAAATAGCCCGTTTTCATTCATTTTTATTATTATATGCTACATTTTCGCACGCTATTTACAATGCGCAAAAGCCAAATACAAAATAAAACTCAAACTGAGGCTGTGCCAGCTTCAGGTTTAGCTTCAAATTCGTGCCCGTAAGCGTTTATAACGCCGCTCACTTCAAAATTGGTAGTTAACTTAACTTGCCCCACCTGCTCGCTCGCAACCTTAACTAACTTGTATGCAACCCCGTTCAGTCCGAGCCTATTCCGTTTAAGAATTGGTTGTCGCACAGCCGGAAGGCTGTCTCATGCCATCTAATAATCTTATAACAGTTATACGTATTTCACAGCTAGCTAACAGCAAGCAACTTGGCCAAAGGATCACGGTCTGCATTTCTCTGTAACCATCATTACAGACACAGCTAAGTTGACATTTTCCAAAAACGGAGTTGAATTAATCGCATAATACACAAATTGAGCTCAGTTCGCAAATATTATATAGACTCGTAAATAATATATATATATATATATATATGTATATATATGTGGCATGTGCGAACTAAGCTTAGCATTTGAGCATGCCAACTCACATGTTGCAAGAGTGTTAAAAATAAAGTTAGGATGTTGATTTAAATATCAGTTAATCTCCAATTCGCTCACTCTCATTATCTCCTTCTCTCTCTCTCAGTCTTTGTGTGTATCTCAAAAATAAAGTTTTGGAAAAACCTGTATATTTTAACAACGCAACAAAAAACATATCTTCATATTTATTATACCCGTATTAAATCCCCAATCAATCCTCATTGGCAAAAAAAAAATATAATAATAATCATGCTGCTCCTCTTCGTTAGTGTCTACTTTTGAGTTTTAATGATGTAATTTTTTGATTTGTATTTGTATTTTATTGTCAGAATCATATCTACGACAATTTGTTGTTTGTCTTCAGCGTGTTTGTCCAATTTAGCGCTAGCTCGTCTTTTATCGCTTCATTGAAGCGACAGGCAGAGTTGTGAATAATTGTGGATGTAAAGTACTAATATGCAATTAATTGATGTTGTCTTTCTACCTCTACCTCTACCTGTATCTGTACCTGTACCTGGCCATCTGCCCTATCTAGACTAGACGCAGACAGACAGAAAACAATCAGGAAACATTTAGTTGAACTGTTGCGACCAGTAGCTAATTACAACATTACTACAACTACAACAATGACTTCATTTCATATCCAAATGATGGGAACATAATATCTATTTGATGTTTTAAACAACAAATCATAATAATCACATAAGACATACGTCATTGAAGTCGGTGTACTTCAACAATGTTGATGATTCCTACAATACGCAAATGTCAAATGCATCATCAAATGATATTAATTGAATTTAATTACTGGCCATCCATGGTCATATAGTTCCTGGTTCGAACACTATCATCATTTTAATTATGGCCTTCATGCTAAGATAGCATTCTGCATAACATTTTCATACATTAAATAAAAAAAATGGCTAAAAATTGTTGTATGTATTTTTTGTAAATGTATGTGACAGGTAACTCCGATCCCATAACGCTGATATATATTCAGCATTAAAAAGCCGAGACATATACGATTTACGATAGGTAATAAAATTCAAAAGAGACTTAACAGTGCATAATTGGCGAATTATTTAATTATACTTAGTATGTAAAGCAACTCGCCGGCAAACGGGAAGGTTTTTGTTGATATTTTCACACTCTCTGATTTTGATTGTTCGAACCGAAAATTAAATGAAATTTATATACACATATGTATATATTGTTAGAGATGGGACAATTGATCGTCACAGTTGTCAGTCTGTCTGTCCATACTGCACTCAACATCAAATCCAACAAATCCAACAAATCCAATCAAATTAAATCATTTTGTCTATGAAATTTCCTAACAATTATGGTTGCCATTTCAATAACGAAATTCTCTTTAGTGTTGTCGTTGTTGTTGTTGTTTTTGGTTATAATAATGCTTAATATTATTATTGTTATTGTCATTGTTCTGCTTAGAGGAATTCACATGCCATGCGCCACTATATATATAAATAGCTATATATATATATATATATATATATATCAGCTGTCTCTACGAGTAGTAGCTCGTGCTTTTGTTATTATTATTGCCCATCTCGTTGATGGATCTTTATTTTGAACAACACTCGTACAATTTAATTTTGCAAAAACACGTGATTTTTTTGTTGTTTATTTTTATTTTTTTTTTCTGCCCGTTTTGTTTGGTTTTGTGCGCCAAATTGTTTTATAGTCATCTAATGGATTATATTCAACAAAATTTTCTCTCTCTTATTTCTCATTACAGCAAACATTTAACTAGACTAATTGATTAAAACGGCAACTTTACCCAATTCTGTCGGACAAGAAATTGGAAAACTAAGCAACTGAACAACAAGAAAAACACAGAAGAAGCAGTACTGAAAAGGCCAGCAAAATGACTGGTTTTACTAACGGCGGCTTTGAGAACGATGAGCCCGTCAAGGTGAGTCTTATACTAGTCACATATTGGATATATCTGTATATATCTGTATATATATATGGATAGATAGGAGATCGCTAGCTCTGCAGTAAGATTATATATACTCTCGATCAGCATCAATTCCAATATATTTGCATTTTTTACGTATTCTTCAACTGTCTTCAAAAAAACAACAAAAAAATACTTGAGAAAAACATCGAAAAGCAGATAGCTTGAACCTAATGACCAATAATGTCAATAATTAAATAACAGCGAATTAAAGAGGTATTTGTGGGCAAAAAGCAGAAGAAGTAGAAGAAGAAGAAGAGATAATCAGTCTTTACGTCGAAATTAACAAACCCCAAAGACCTTTCAAGTTACTTATTATAATTGGAAGTTAACTGACCCAAATCGAATGCGCCGCTTGACCTATTGTTTTCAGTCGACGGATAGTGATGTACGTACATACATACATACATACATACATACATATATACACACTTATAGACAGACCTATGGATGAATGTACTCGTATCAATTGCATAGTTATTTTTATTATTATTATTATTGTTGTGTGCTGTGGTGGAAACAAGTTTTCAAACAAAATTATCATGACTGAAGCTTATCCATATTTATTTGGAATGTACTCGTGTTGAAATCAAGTTTTTCTGAAAATTCCTCAGCTGGAAGACTGGTTCACATAGAACAGCATTTGGTTAAAAGAAAAAGAAAAAACAAAAACCAATCAAAATTCCTAAATAGAATACATGTAAAATAGAATTATGAAATTGATTCAGGCAATTCAATACAACTAATTATAACACTTGGAGACAGGGCGACAATCTTAATGACTGTGTTTGCCTTCGGCCAGAAATCATATTTTATATTTACACACGTCACAATATTAAGAAAAAAACAAAAACAAAATTCACAAACCAATGAAAGAAGGAAGTATTGAAAAGCAGCCGAGTTGTATATATTAATGTAATGCATATATGATATAGATATGTTGATCTGATTATCACGAGATATTGTGCTGATTATGAGTGATGAGGTCGTACGCTAATGGAGACAGAGAGAGAGAGAGAGAGAGGGAGTGGTGGGTGGTGAGGTGGGGTGGACAATCAAGTGAATTGGGCACTCCTAAAAAACACATACAAATAAATTTCACCTCAAGAAACAGAAACAGTGACAACGTTCGAAGCCCACGCGAAGCCAGCCAGGCCAAAAAGAAATGTGACAGCAGAAAGCGCTTAAAAGCCAAATACGAATACACGATAACAAGATACACACACACACACACACACATACAGAAAGACAGAAAGACAGAAAGACAGACAGACAGACAGACAGACATACATTTGCCGCAGGTAAATATATGAGCCTGTCCTAATTGAAACTGAGCCACAGTTTGTGGACTTGAATTGGGTTTCTGCGTGTTACAGGCCAACAAATTGCACACACACAGACAGACACACACACACACACATGCACACACACACGCACACACACGGCACAGAGGCTGGATAGTGGCAAGGTTTCATATTAATAAATATTGGCAATTTATAATGAGTCTTGTAAAGCCAACACCACCCAGCACAGCATCCAAGTGTGCTCAACTCTTGGCCAGTTCCAATTACACTGCACAGAGAGTTCTCAATGGATAAACCAGTTTGTTTTTTTGTTGTTGTTTTTTTTTTTTTTGGAATTAAGAAACCAGAGAACGGCAACAAATAACCAAAAACTCAATAACAAATACAAATTTATGTAAAGTCAAAAGATATGTAAAAGAAGAAAAAAAAATAATAATAATAAAAGCAATAAATATGGCGAGAAACATAACGACAGACAGACAAACACACACACACGACAGACAGACAGACAGATAGGCAGACAGACAGAGAGGCAGACAGATAGGCAGACAGACAGACGGAGAGACTGAAAACCAAAAAGCAAACACGAAACGTGCCGAGTTTAAAAATAAAACAACGCAAATCTCGTGCGCTCTGCGCGCTTCTACTACTACTACTTGACACACACACACACACACACCTCTCCACTATCCACTCTCCACTCTCCACTCTCCACAATATTTCCCTAGCCTTCGCATATACCCCTTACAGTGCCCAGAGTCCCAAATGTAACTGGTTTGCAGCCTGTTGCTGTTGCTGCTGCTGCCTTTTTTCTTGTTGCTTCTTTGCTATGCTCTCCTTGTCATATTTTATTGTATTTTATGCATGCTTCGCACTTGCCACACGATGATTATTATGATTATGATTATTATTATTATTAATATTATTGAGTGGCTGAGTTTTGAAATACTGTTATTAGTATTGGCATCTGCAGGCATATAGCATTTGCTAAGAATCAGAGCAAGCTAAGAAGTTGCTTATTGACAACATTTATAGTACCATAAAATATATGCAAATTATAAGAAAACTTCATATATATTTATATATATTTACGTCTATTTATATTGCGAAATTCAGATAGAACACAAATTGCATTCTTCCAATGCAGTTCAGAGTGAGTCATAAGCCCAAACTAGAAAACATTTAAATATTAAAAAGAACTCAATTATATTACTGAAGTTTAAACCTCAGCTGATTAGCGCTGGTCTGTAAACTTTGGCGTATTTTTCATTATTGAATTTTTTTTGTTTTGTTTGTAATTAGATGTTTGAGAACCACAGGCTGATATACTTTATGGGCTATATTTGGTTATATAACTATTGATCAAGGGAGTTATCATAAATATTCAATTTGTATTTCTTGATTATGTCAACAATTTGGTTTGCAACTTGGGTGTACTTCGCTGTCGAAATCGACTTCTTGGCAAACGTTTGTGGCACCTGCGGCGTATGCGTCATCTTTTTCTTTTTGTTTTTTGTTTTTCTTTTCTGCGCCACATGCATTGACGTGGCTACAATAACTGTTGTTTGTCGTATATGTAATTATTCGCTGATCGCCAAAACTTGATTTGTGTTTCGTTTAGTAGCAACAAACAACAAACAAATGCAATTTTTATTGCTGTTAACCAGCAGCAGCAGCAGCAGCACTGAAAGCAATATAAAACAAAATAAATAACAAATAATCACAATAAGAGCAGCAGTCAAATTTTATGTATTTAGCCACAATTATCATGCAGTTTTAATGTGCATAGATCTTCTGCTTTTGTTTCTTTTTTTTTGTTTGTTGTTTTTTTTTTTTTGGGCACTTGTTAAGCATTTCAATTTTGTGTTTTATTGATAAGCTCGGGGATTTTTTAAAATTTATATATATATATATATATATTTGGTTTTTCTACTTTGGTATTTGCATACAAACAAAACGAGATCGACACGTCAATGCATCGACTCGCCTCCGCACGAGGAGCTGGCTGTGAACCCTAGGGTATTATGAGATAATATTTAAACTACTTACATACCAAATTGTTGTAACAAAAAAACAAAAACGAAAAAAAAAAAACAGTAATCGATTCACGCTTGCATAACGCTTGCCGCGTGCTCATGTTATTGTTGTTGTTGTTGTTGCTGCTGTTGTTGCTGCTGCCCACCTAATTGGCCAGGGAACGTGGACCCGAAGCAGCGGCCGTATTGTGTGCACCGTTAAACGTCAATTACAGTTTCGTACCTCCCATCAACAACACAATGCAAAACTTTACGTAAAATGCGTTTGGCCACAAAAAAATCAGTTGGCTCTCCACCATCACCACTAGCAGCACAGGTGTGGATAACCTTCTGAGCGGTGCGCGGCAACGCATGCAAAATACAAAAAAAAAAAAAAATAAAAATAAATAAAAAAATAATTGTGATTTTTTGGCCAGTTCTACGAGCGTGCCCAGTTAGCTTTCAGCAGGTGCCTTGCGCATTTTTTATGACCATTTAAAGGCCGCGCTGCGCATGCCCAATGTAAAACGCGCGCAAAACGCACACAAAACGCACATAAAACACGCGCGCGCGGTCACCCAATATGCTTGCAGGCCCCGCTTTTAAATTTAGAAACTAAAAGCGTTAAAGCCAACCAACACATAAATAATCAATTAAAACTGTCCATATATATGCATATGCATATATGTATTCGTGTGTGTGTGTGTGTGTGTGTGTTAGCCAAAGACATCGATGGCAAAACCAAATGAAATGCAACAAACCAAATCGCAAATACCCTTTTTTGTTTGATTGCTCATTTAATATGTGATTATCATTGAATCGCATTCTAAGCACGCTCTCAAGCTGAATAAATTTGAGCATATTTCGTGCTCGTATTTTAATACAATATATATTAGATATTATTATATTATATTAAGTTACTTGGAATTGTCTAAAGAATTTGCACATAATCTGTTTGCTTGTGGCTTTTGTGGCTTTTGTGATTTTCTTGATTTTAGTTTCGCTTATAGAAATGCTGATGATCATAAAAAAGAATTGTTAATCTTATCTTTGGACTGTATTTGAATTCGATTACCATCGATGGGCTTAATTAATAAATATCTAATCCACAAATGAGTTTTTTCTTTTTCTTTTTTTTTCATTTTGTAGAAACCAAACGTGCGATTTTGTAAATTATAATTATTTATTATTGTTGTGAGCTTTCGAGATTAGAACCCTTATGTGATTGTATCAAATTAAAATCAACTTGCAATAGAACAATATTTTTAGATGGAAACACAATTGATAATAACGAAAGATTGAACTAGAATAAATTAGAAATGATTGACTTTAAGGCTAAAGAATTGGCATCATTTTCTCAGTTGAGATCGAGCTGCTGAGACTTGATTGGATAATAGCTTTTGGCATTGGTTCCAAAAAGAGTATTGCTTAAAAAGAGTACATTGCTTTATTAAATTTAGCACCGGCGCATGCAACTGATTTTCGAATCACTAACGAGCTGCCAATTAATTTTCGCTGTGTTTTGCATTATTTTTTTATTTTTGTATTGATTTGTTTTTTGTTTTTTTTTATTTATTTTCTTTGTATTTTTTTTTATTTTTTTTGTATTTTTAGCCAAAAGCTGGTTTTGAGCCAGACACGGCCTCGCTGCGAGAGAAAGTTGTGCTGAATCCCGCTGAGAAATGGCGCATCTTAAAGAATATCTCAATCATCTCGATAGCGTTCATGGTGCAGTTTACTGCGTTTCAGGTGAGTTACTTCAGTCCCGGATCCCCCGGAATCCCCGGATTGAAACTGATTTGATTTAATTAATATAAAATGTATATTTATATTTGCTATTTTGGCTTTTTGTTTTCTTTTTTTGTTTTTTTGTTTTTTTGTTTTTGTTAACAAATTTAGGGCACGGCCAATCTGCAATCGTCGATCAATTCAAAGGATGGCCTCGGCACCGTATCGCTAAGTGCCATTTATGCGGCGCTGGTTGTCTCTTGCATCTTCCTGCCCACGCTGATCATACGAAAGCTGACGGTTAAATGGACGCTCGTTTGCAGCATGCTCTGCTATGCGCCGTACATTGCCTTCCAGCTGTTCCCGCGCTTCTACACCCTGGTGCCGGCTGGCATTCTTGTGGGTATGGGCGCGGCGCCCATGTGGGCATCCAAGGCCACATATCTGACACAGGTCGGGCAGGTATATGCTAAGATAACTGAACAGGCCGTCGATGCCATTATTGTGCGATTCTTTGGCTTCTTCTTCCTTGCCTGGCAATCCGCCGAGCTCTGGGGCAATCTCATCTCCAGCCTGGGTATGTACCATTTGCACCAATTGTCCTTCCTTCCATCCTTCCATTTCTTACTATTTCTCCTTTCTTCTTTTTTGTTCTTCGCTTCTTTTTTTTTTGCTTTGCCGTTGCCGTTGCCGTCTTATAAACAGTTCTGTCGAACAGCGCCCATGGCGGTACCAGCAGCCCCAATGCCACAATCACTGAGGAGGATTTGCTGTTATGCGGCGCCAATTTCTGCACCACCGGCACCGGTGGTCATGGCAATTTGGAGCGTCCGCCAGAGGATGAAATCTTTGAGATCTCGATGATTTATCTGATGTGCATTGTGGCGGCCGTTTGCATCATTGCCTTCTTTCTCGATCCGCTAAAGCGTTACGGTGAGAAGCGCAAGGGCTCCAATTCGGCAGCGGAGCTATCCGGATTGCAATTGCTATCGGCGACATTCCGCCAGATGAAGAAACCCAATCTGCAGCTGTTAATACCCATCACCATATTCATTGGCATGGAGCAGGCATTCATTGGCGCCGACTTCACCCAGGCGTATGTCGCCTGTGCGTTGGGCGTCCATCAGATTGGCTTCGTCATGATCTGCTTTGGTGTGGTGAACGCTCTCTGCTCCATACTGTTTGGCTCGGTAATGAAGTACATTGGACGCCTGCCGATCATTGTGCTGGGCGGTGTTGTCCATTTCACGCTCATCTCTGTGATGCTCTTCTGGCGACCCAATCCCGACAATCCGCTCATCTTCTTTGCCATGTCCGGACTGTGGGGCGTTGGGGATGCCGTGTGGCAGACACAGATCAACGGCCTCTATGGCCTGCTCTTCCGACGCAACAAGGAGGCCGCCTTCTCCAACTATCGCCTTTGGGAGTCCGCTGGCTTCGTCATCGCCTATGCCTATGCCACAACGCTCTGCACCCGGATGAAGCTCTACATTCTGTTGGCTGTGCTGACGCTGGGCTGCATTGGATACGTCGTCGTCGAGATTCTCTACAGGAAGAAGGTAAGCTAACCATCCAATCCTCTTAACTGATTATGACACTTTACTTAAGATCTACGAAATGAGAATAAAATTCAAAACAGCCTGTTAGAAAATGGCTCTTGAATTCAAGTATATTTTGTTTTAAACTTTCTTTTTTGCTTTCGTAATAAAATTAAACTTGTTTTTTTCTTCATTTCTTCTCATTTGCTTTGCAAGCTGAATGATTTTTCCCATTCGATCAATTTCTTATAAATTAGGATCAGTAATTGTTTCCTAATTCTTTCAATTGCAATTTTAGCAATAATAAATAATATTTGATAATCTAAGAAAGTTGCGAGGAATCCAATTTTATCCAATCAATCAAATTTCAATTTTATTCTTTATTAATGTAGTAACAGTAATTTTATTAACATAAATTATACTATTCTTGTATTACTCTGTTAACGGTTATTTTTCGTATTCACTTTTTGCAGCAACGCAAGATGAAGAAGCAGGAGAAACTCGAGGCCGCCGAGAAGGAGAAGGAGGCAGCTGCCGCTGCGGCTGCTGCTGCAGCCGCTGCACAGGCAAACGCGTTTGGCGACGGCGTCGAGGAGACCGATGATGAGTTGGACGATCTCGAAGAAGATATTGTAGTCACGCGCCTGTAATAATCGTATTTTGTTAATTGTTGTACGTTCATTTTGTTTATTTTTGCCGACGACGACGCGTCGTTGCGGCTGCAGCAGCTGCGCTGTTAACCGCTAACTGTTATCGGTTGCCAGTTAGCCGTTAACAGCTCTGTTAACCTACACGCCCACATAAAGCAGTGCACTCCCATACACAACACACACACACACACATACATATGTAAGAGCAAATTATAAAAAAAAAAACAAAAACAAAAAAACAAATAGAAAAAAATAGAAAAACAAAAAACACAAAATGCAAATAAAAGCTGTTGCATAGCCGCAGGCGCGTAGATTTTCTCGTCGGTCTATCGGCGATGCGTCCGAACTTTTGTCGTTGTAGTTGTCGTAGTACTTAGTACATTCCCCCTCCCCAAGTCCATTTAACGCAGAATGCTTACAAGCACATATAAATATATAAATTTACATACAGTGCGTGTGTGTGTGTGTGTGTGCTGTGTGCCTGTTAAGTGTAAGTGCAAGTGCAAGTGTGTGCTAAAATAACTTTAGTTTTGTGCATATAAGCATACAAGCGACAGTGAGAGAGAAAGAGAGAGAGAGAGAGAGAGATATAGTGTCAGCGTGCTGAATGCAGACAGGTGTTGTTGGTTGTGCTAGCGACTGACGACAGAGGGCGCCTTTAACTTTATGTAGTGTCAATTAGAAGTAGACACACACACAGGCACGCACACATGCACGCATGCACACACTCACACACACAAACACACACACACTCACTAGTACGCATGCATCACGCACACTGACAACATGCTGTAGCAGTATGTGTGTCAAATATGCCTATTAAATTGTTATTTTATTTTAAATGCTAGCATTAAATCTATCTATATATATATATATATATACAAAGAAATTTTTTTCAATTTTTTTTCTTGGTTGCTGCTTATATATACAAAACAACAAGAAACAATTAAACAAAACAACAAAAAGTGATAATTAAACACACACACTTACACACGCACACACATACACGCATGCACACACGCACACACACACACACAGAGTCACAAAATAGTCAAATTTCTAAACTAAAACCGGCCGCGAAAACTAATATTAAAAGTAATTATTATTAAGCCGTCGAAAAAGAAAATAACAACAAAATAAATGAAATACTAAAATACACAAAAGAAAACAAAAAAGAAAAAAAACAAAAACAACACAAAAAAATAGAGGGCAAGCGATTAAAACAAATGTAATAAATGCAAAAGCAGAAAATATAGCATGCAAAATGATAAACACATTTTTTGCTCAGTATTATGTTTTAAACTAAATTTAAGTGAGTTATTGTTTCCTGTTTTTTTTATTTAATTATTTTTTTTCTTTTTCATGAAGAAGATATTTGCAACAAAAAACAAAAAACCAAAAAAAAAAAAAAAATTTGAAAAATGTTTAATTTTGTGTTGAGGAATCATTATTAAAAACCTCCCTTCGATTGCAATTATAATTATATAAATAATGTTGCAAAAAATAATACACACACATACATATATATATATATATACATATATATATATATATGTATATATATACTTTTTGTTTTGATGAAACGTTTTACGTAAATATAAACAAATGAGAAAAAAAATACAAAAAAAAAACAAAATATAATTGTAATACATACATTTTCTTTTTTTTTTTGCTTAGTACTTTAAGTAGTTCATTATATTATGAAAAATATGAAAATAAATAAATGAATATAAATATTTTATGTCGTTGTTCTTTTTAGCTGGAAAATTCAAGAAACCCAAATCAGTTAGTGCATTAAAATTATATATAACAAATTCCGTTGGGTTTATTGTTTTTAATGACATAATCGGCTCTGAGATAACTTCTTTTATAACAAGAGAGAACACTCCAAGTTTGGTAACTGAATTGCGGATGATTTAGGATTTTATCGTTTTTAGGGGCGGGTGTGGGCGTGTTCTGCAAATTTCTATGTCGATCCTTGGAGGAGGTTACCAGCAAGTTACCTTCCAAGTTGGGTCACTCTATCTTCAAAATTGTGGGAGATATGCGGATTTATCGATTTACACTTTACGAAATATCGGCTTTGGTGATTATGGGCGCAGGTGTGGGCGTGGCCATACCAATTTGTTACCAGTAACATAAATACCAAATTTGACGGCTCTTGGAAGGACGTCGCCAAAAACCTACAAACCAAATTTGGTGACTTTAGCCTTAAAATTGTGGGAGATATGTGGCTTTATCGATTTGCGAATATCGATTTTATCAATTTCCTACAATTTTTACACTTTGTCCAGTATATGTTCCAATAATGTTCATTTATCCGTTAAACAAGTTAACAATTTTATTTACGATCTTTGCACAACATTAAAAATATGAATTCAGAAAAGTCGCAGTGGAAAATTTCGAAGAATTTCGACCAATTGCATTTTAAAATCACTCTCCTTCCATATAATGTATCGAAGCTGTTTTTTTTTTAAATTAAGAAATATTTAATATATTCTAAGAGAGAAGTGCTTCTAGCAGAAAGAAAACATCGCTTCTACTTTTCATTGAAATATCAATAATCGCCCGCCAAAAACTTGCAATTATTAGTTTGTTGAATATGAAAATATGTTCTTACTTAATCAAATTTATCTTACAGTTGATCAATAATAAGGGGTATATTATATACTAAGTGCAAGATTATATCTTTAAAATTGTACATTTTATTGCAATCGGAAATCGATTTGAATCGATATGCGCAAAAGGAGGCAGTTATCGATCAATAAAGCATGCTTAGTCAACTTAGTCTGTCAATGAACGACATTTAAATACTTTTGTTATAATAATTTATTAAATAAATATATGGAAAGGGGTAAAAAAAAATGACGAACAAATAAATAATGCACTAAACTTAAACAAATTTTGAAGACGACTGAGATTAGACAATAAAGCGAACTAGAGCACAATGGGTTCTTCTTCGGTGAACTGCCTGTTCTTGCGGCGGCGATTGGATTTGATTTTGCTGAGGACGCTGTAGGCCTGCTGGATTTCAATGAAACGCTGATTGGCAGCGGCACGCTGGGCCTCGTCCTTGGCCTTGTCGGGATGATGCTCCTTGGAGAGCCGCCGATACGCAGCCGTAATCTCGGCCTGCGATGCCGTTGCACTAATGTCCAGCACCTTGTACGCATTGCGCTCACCATGGACATCCATGCTCTCGAGTATCTCGCGCCACACCTGACTCCAGCCGTTATGCTTGGCATAGTTGAGCGTGTCGCTCAGCGCCTGCTTCAGATCCGTCCACCAGGCGGAGGCCAAGAAATTTTGCAACGCCTCGCGTATGGGCACCTCGCTGCCATACTCATCCGTGATGGTGCCATTGAAGAAGATCATACAGCTAAACAGGCCCAAATAAATGCAAACGGCGCCACCAATTTGAACGCTACGCTCCATCGTGCCACGCCTGCGTGGCGGTGTTCGCAGCCACTGTTTCGACTTCGAGTCGAAGATCAATGCAGAAACGACGGCGGTCAGGAGCAGAGTGTACGTTTCGTCATAGATCAAATAGCGAACCGGATAGATGACTAGAGCGCCGAGGAGGCAGTGCCACCAGACGCCGCACTCGCGTCCAATGTTGCCAACGGTCCACACGCCCAGCGACACAAAGACCGGAATGCACCAGTGCAGCCAAGTGAAATCGATGCCAGCCGTAATCGTTTGCGGTATGGCCGACAGAAAAAGCTGGCCAAACAAATAGCCAATCATTACCTCGCCCGTCAGACGCGCGCCCGAATATGGTGGCGTTGGATGCAGCTGCAACTTTGCCACAAACTGTTTGACGAAACGCGGATCCTCGTTGGCATCACGCACATATCCGGGTATTAGCCAAATATCGTAGATGCAGCCAAAAAAGTAGCCACCCAGCGAACACCACCAGACGAACGCCTGTCGATCACGATGCAAATACAAATGATGCAATCCAAACATGCCACCAACCAGCCACAAAATATATGTAATAATCAATGATTTCTTTGCTGGCAGCACATTTTGCTCGATCAGCTTACTAGTTGTGGGCGGCTGGGTGAGTTTTTTGTGTTTCCTGCTGCTGGATTCCGTCGAAACGGTTGTATTATCGGCCAACATCTTATTGCCCATAGTTGTAGTTGCTGCTGCTGCTGTTGTTGTTCCTGTGTTGCATTGAGAGAGAGAGAGAGAGAGAGAGAGAGAAGCAATTGTCAACAAATGAGAGTTAAAATTAATCAATTTGAATTTAAAGCAGCAAACCGAACTTGAATTTAATATTTGTGTAAAACTACTGAGCTGTTGTTGTCTCTGCTGCCCTTTTTGAGTAAAAAGTTAAGTAAATTAGTCGAGTTGATTCAGTCGACCGCGTTTCAGAAACTTTCTCTTTTCACGTATTCTTTACATGCCGCCACAACAACAACAACAACAGCAGCAACAGCAAACAAGCCAAGAAAGAAAACAAAGTCTACGTTTTGACAGCTGCATTTGAACATTAAAATTTTGTTTCGTTTTTGAACTTACTGATATTCGGCAATGATGATTGCAATTGAACAAAAAGAATGTTTGGCTTTGGTCTGCTCTGTTTCGTTTTATGCCACCTGTGCCACTTGCGGCCAACCAGATGATCTGGTGAAATTCGAAAGAAAAAGTTATTTCAGTGTTATTTGAGCCACATCGGTTCGCGCTGTTAAAATGTGATCAAGTCTGGCAGGCTTAGCGCACACAGTATTGTAAAATGCCAGTTAAAGTGCTGCAAAACGATGACACATCGATCAGAGTTACCATATCCGTTGAGTTTATTTGAAAATGATTCGCGATCGTTTTGGCGCTAACTAATTTTCCATACTTTAAATCTGCAATTTTCAAACATCATTTGTGATTTATGAGTTAAAGACAATCAATTGGAAAAAATGTTGTTATTATTGATTCACTATTTGAATGCTTACGTGTACATATTAAAAAGGTAATTAGACATAATTTGACACACGATATATGGACTTATTTAGGCTTAAATGTAGAACATTAACTTAAACTGATAGAACAAACAAACTAGCATAGATGACAGAAAAGACGAGAACAATATTATTATTATTAATATAATAATTAGCTGAAGCTTACACGCTAATGGTTAATGTGAGACAAAAAGGTAATACTTTCGTTGGGTTAATAATAATATGAATAATAAATAAATATGTAAGAAACCAAAAAAAAAAAGGGTGGCAAAAATGTGACTTAAATGAAACATGCTTAAACATTTACACTGAGAGAATTGTTGGGTGTTGTGTGATTAGTTGTTCTTCTTTTTGGGCTTCTTGGGATTGCGGGAACGCGACTTTGCCTTGCAAAGGGGACAAATGGGGGCATTACGATGGATCTGCTGGTGGCAGGACAAACAGGACTTCATCGGCGGTGGCTGTTGACGCAGATTCACATTGAAATCGGAGCGAAACGACGGATGATGTCCAATCCCAATCGATGGCGATTGCTGCAAGCGATTTGTGCTTGGCGGCGGTGGCGGCGGTGCCGAAAAATCGCTCTTGCCCAGACGCGCTGCAGCCACCGCAGCAGCAGCAGCAGCAACACTGCCAGCTCCGCCCGGCGGTGCCGGCGGCATGAAGGCATGACCAGGACCACCGCCACCGGCACCACCAACGCCACCACCACCGCCGCTTGGCATCGTCTGGCCGCCGCTGCCCGTGCCGGCCATGCCGCCAGCGCCACCGGCTGCATTTGGTGGCATGGCGGTGACCGTTGCCTCAGCCATCAGCGGATGACGGGCATGCGGACGGGCCAAGGATGTGGGCTGTGCGCCGCCGGCAGCTGCTGCTGCTGCGGCGGCTGCTGCTGCTGCTGCCGCTGCCGCCGATTGGGCGGCAACTTTGAGAAAGTTGGTCTGGAAGCGATCTTTCGAAATGGGGCTGCCCTCCTCCTCGTGCAGGTCACGCAACGGACTCAATCCGAGATAGTCGCGACGCATGTGATCGATTTGATATTTGAGGGCGAGATATTCCTCGTAGACCCGATTGGCCATGTCGAAGGAGCGCGTCTGGTTCTCCTTCGTCTGCTTGATGATGTTCTCCATGTCGTTGATGTCAGCATGGATCTGGCGCAGCTCTTCCACGTGCGACATCTTCTCCTCGAGCAGATGCTCCATTTCTTTGCGGTATTCATCGAGGCACTTCTCCTCGTCGTCGCTCAGCTTCACCTCCTTGATGATGCGCACCTTGAGTTTCTCCAGCGCCAGTGTCTTGTCCCTGATATCCTTGATTGCCTCCAGCTTGGCATAATAATGCCGCTCGTTGGAGCTGGAAATCTCGCTGGTGGCCATTTTGTATGCCTTTTATTGGTTTATTTTTAACGCGCTGCGTCTTCGATGCACTTTGACTTGATTTCCCACCCTTCTTTATTGCTGCGGAAGTTTTGGTTTATTCAAATGCGAAAATCTCGCTAGCTCAATTTTGAATTGAAATTTGTATTTATATTTATATTTTAGTTTCGTTTTTTTCTTTTTGTGCGCTTTTTGCTTTTTTCACTTTTGCTTTGTGTATTTCGCATGGGGATGGGCACTTTTGGACCAACCGCCTCGCATGTGCAACTATCGATATATTGCATAAACAATATATAATACTCAAAATGGAGCTCGATAACAAAAGCAGTTGCCATCAAGTTGTTTCGAACAAACGGTCACACTGACAACTGGAGAAGAAAAGAAAAAACTTTAGTTTCAGCATTTTGTGCGAGACGCATATCACACACATATTTAACTAAGAATATTGCTATATATATATACATATATATAATCGATCGCAAACAAGAAGAAAAAAAAAATGGCGATGCCAATGCAAGACGAACATCCATTCAAGCTTAGGAGCTTTATTGATTTTGTCAGTACAAATCCGACGGTTCTGAATATGCCCCAATTGAAGTATGTCAAGGATTTCATCGAGAAGTTCGGTGGCAAAGTGCCTGAAGGTGAATTCAAACCGGAAGCTGGGTAAGTGTGTGTGTGTGTGGCGAGTGTGTAGCTAGTGTTTCTGCATGTGTGCGTTACATTTTCTTTTCCATTCCATTTTTTTTTTTTGCAACAGCAAATGCCCCTTTGCCGACGAGAATGAAAAGCCGGCACCAAGCGCCGATCCAATTGTTTCAGATGAGAGCGCTGAAGATGAAAGCACCTCGGAGCCAGAATCCGATGTCGAATTGGATATGGAAGGTAAATCGAAAAATAAAAAAACCAACAAGTCAAAAAATCACGTGTTCTAACCTCACAATTTGTTGTTGTTTGTCGCAGGCGTTATTGAAGCCGACAGCGATCCCGCCCAGCCAATGGGAGATTCGGGTAAGACACCCACCGAAGAGGAAATCGATCAGGCTGGCGATTTGCGTGCCCAGGCAGCCGGTGCATATAGCGAACAGAAATTCGATGAGGCCATCGGCTTCTATACGAAGGCTATTGAACTGAATCCGGGCAATGCACTGTTCCATGCGAAGCGCGGCCAGGCGTTCCTCAAGCTGAAAAAGCCGAATGCCTGCATACGCGACTGTGACAAGGCACTGGAGCTGAACTGTGATTCGGCGGCGGCATACAAGTTTCGTGGACGTGCCCATCGTCTGCTCGGACAGTTCGAGGAGGCGGCAAAGGATTTGCGGCAGGCGTGCAAGCTCGACTTTGATGAGGAGGCCGACGAGTGGCTGCGCGAGGTCACACCCAATGCCAAGAAGATCGAACAGCATCGCATCAAGTTGGAGCGCAAACAGGCTGAGCGCAAAATGAATGATCGCAAGCGTGCACAGCGCAAGGCGGGCAAAGGGCAGGAGGACCAACCTGCTGCTGCTGGCGGCGAATTTCCAGGTGCTTTCGGCGACCCGTTAGCCGGTTTTGATGTGAACGGTTTATTATCCAATTTAAAGGATCCCGAAGTGATGGCTGCGGCGCACGATATAATGGCCAATCCGGCCAACATTTCCAAATATATGTCGAATCCGAAGATATTCAATTCAATCAAGAAGTTCTTCCCCGGCCAATTCCCGGCCTGTTTCGCCGACGCCGATCCGAAGGCTGGCGGCGCTGACAACGGTGCTGGTGCTTCTTGCGACGCCGACGGCGGCGCCAAGGCACCCAACAGCAGCGAACCAAAAGCCAAGAAGGAATCGCCAGGCTACGTTGACGATGGACTCGATTAAGAAGTGAAGCAAACAAAAGAAACAACAAGAAAACCAGCAGCAGCGACACCAACAACAACATACATCAAAATATATACAAAATTACCAACAAAAACAAACAAAAAACATACATAAACAATACATAGAAACAAACATACGAATTAGAGCAGGACAGCAAACAAGTTCGATCTGGAATGGAAGAATATATATATATATATATATATATACATACACATATACATAACGATATATATTTAGCGTTTAACCAACTACAAACCGTTATCTACTAATGTTCTTCAAGAGCTGCTTCTGTTAAGAGCTGCTGCTGCTAACCAAGCAAAATTCAATGTTTCCTTATTAACATTAAAATGTTTATCGATGATATCTAGTTGAACTAAAGTTCGATAAGACAAAAAAAAACAAAAGCAAAACAAAACGGAACAGAAAGAACGAAATGAACACACAGAAATATAGAGAGAGAACGAGAGTGGCACACACAAGCATACACATTTAACGGTTCATTAGCCTTAATTTCAGTCCGTTGTTGAGGATTAAGTAAAACACACACACACACTCACCAACTCATTTAATGGCCAAATTCCAATCGATAACCAGATGCATTGCGGTCGTCTTATAGTATATCATTCAAAAATCATGTTTCATAAACCCCAGCACTATCTCACACACATACACATACACACACACACACAAATATGAATGAAAATAAACTAATGCGAATCGGAACTGAAAATATTTTTACATATGTATGTATTTTAAATTCGTTTAGGTTTTCAAACTTGAAGCATCGCTTTCAATGTGGAATACAATATTCCTCATTGATTTTCACTTGGAAATTTCAGTTTTTTTTATTGCTTTAGGCTTTAAGTAAAAAGTGTAAATTGTAATTTAATTAAAATTCTTTTTCAATTAGTTTTGATAACAGAATCGAAAAATACATATTCGATATTCAAAAACTCTCGTCGAAGCTATATTTGAATACTATTTTCTACAGTTACTCGTAGCCACATACAAAGTTTGTCTTTATTCATTATTATTATTACGAAAAATCATGGAAATGGAAAAACTCTTGTTTGATCTTGATCTTTAACCGATTGTCGAATACGTTGCTGCTGATGTGTATATACAAATCTGCGTTATACTCTAACGGTACTCATGATTCAAATGTGTTCCACACACACATACTTATATATATACGTATACATACATGTATGCATGTGAGACTGCTTTCACTCCTTAAAGTAGGCAACGCTCAAAAGCATTTTCGATGCTATTTTTGAACATGAATACAATGTGATTGGCATTTGTAATTAATATACTTATAACTTACAACCAGCTCATAATTTGCATATTAACAACTTGGCCTGAAGGCAAAACGAATGACTGAATCATATGTGTTTGCAGCGTACTTGATAACGTTAAATCGCATTGATAACTAAACAAACAAAAACAACAAAAAAAAAACGTGTATGCATTCATTTCTGAGTGTATACGAGTATTTATTTTTGTGAAGCTGAATACCCTACGCCTGCAGAGTATTATGGCTTTAGCATCAGATGCGTTACTCATAGGTAAATACATCTATCAGCTATGTGCGGGTTGCTCTATATCTACATAAATAATTCTTTGTTTTTGATTCTATACATTTTAGGTAAGGGTATTTAATGTTCGGGCAAACTGACGATTCATTCATATTCATGTTTTCATGTTCTCCTTGAGGCGGCGAGCAGCAGTGCAGTTAATTCAAATACACACGTACATATACATATAAGCTTATATTTTGTTATTTTGCATTACTCATTCACCAGCGCTCTCACTCATTCACTCTCAATCTCTCACACTTTTGCAATCTTAGTGACTCAGAACAATTGATAGCGCTGTGCAGCAGCAGCAGCGAATTTGCTCTCGCTCTTACTCATTGGAGAAGAAAAGTCGAAAAACTATTAACCGTTACAATGCCATATGCGTGCCGGGGTGTGTTAAGGCTAACTGCACTCCTAACAACAACAATAAAACTATAAAAGCGCGCGACATTGGTGCTCTTTTTGTTTTGTTCTTACTGTTGTTGCTGTTATTGTTTTTGGTTACGTTGCTCATCGCTATTCGGTATTCATAGCATGAAGTTTGTTTTGTTTTCTTTTCTATTTTGTGACATCATGACGTCATGGTCGTCATCGTCTCGCTCGCTGACTGAGTGAATGAGTTGCCCGCAGTACAACAAGTTGTTGTGCTTTTCGGTTGCTTACTCGCTTCTTGTTTTGTTGTTGTTGTATTTCGGAGCGCTGCGGGCGTGTGCGTTGACGCCGCGTCGCTGCCTTCGAACCGGCCAGCTGGCAATAGCAAAAGGTGTAAACGAAACTGAAAATACTTTTGCAGTTTCAGTTTCGTTTTGAACGTACGCGCGCAAAGACACGCAGTTGAAGCAACAGCTCGACATCCAAACGCATTGCAAAAACCGAATTTTCAATACAATATCCAAGAGTGACCAGAGTCAGCGAATTCGATTCGTGTATACAAAACGTAAGAGCCACAACCACCCAGCAGCGATCTCATATTATTTTCTACGCACACACACATTTACATATTTATACGTGTGTTTGTGTTTGTGTGTGTGTGTGAACATAACTTAAAATTCAAAATCTGCACGTTTTGTTGTCACTCAACGCATGCAAAATAGCTAAATTTTGAAAACAGTGTTGAATTCCAGGGCGTGTCTCATTAATGGACCACACAAGGATTTCCTGGGGTTCATTGAGAGTAGGTCATAAACAATAAACAACTATTGGCGATGATCTCATTCCGCAATAAAAACGACGACAAAAAAACATATAGTGCAAAAGTTGCTAAAAATAAGATGTCTAAAAACTCTTATCATTTTGAAGTTTTTTTTTTTTTTTTTTTTTTTAACTATTTCTGTACATACATATATTTTTTTGTACATATGGCAAGGGGTATGGCGATCTCTATGTCACTCTCACACACTCTATCTGTCTCTCTCACACAGATATATATATATATATATATATATATATATATATCTATATATATATATATATATATATATATATATATAAATATATAAATATATATATACAGATTTTTACGCGCGTCCCCATTTCGGAATATATAGACAATAATATGCATGTGCATATATTTGTATGGTTCAGAGAGGGAGAGATGTATACATATTTAAAAGATTTTCATGTTTCCATCGAAGTATTTTGCTGAAAACAAAAAGGCTGCGACCATAAAGCCCATGACGTCACAGTACAGCTATAGACAAAACACGCAAACTAGATACAGATACACACACACACACACTCATGTGTGTGTGTGTGTGTATGGTTAGTTGTGTGTTGTATTAGAGAGGCACGATGATGACAGTAAATAGAATTTGTAGTTTCTCCTGCGTTGCTTCAATAACATTTGGCGCTTTGGCGAGGCCGGCATTGAAAAATGTTTAATTTTAGAAAAATAATAACAAAATATATGGCCAAAAATACAACTGTCTGTGGGCAATGGGCGCGGTTAGGGCATCAAATGTGTAACAACTTTGTACAAATGTTGTTTGTTTGTTGCAATTCACACGTTAGATTTAGTGCAACATTTGCCCAACGTAGCTAAAACTTAGTTCAACTACGAATTAAATAATAATTTATACTTTAAAAATCGTACAATTACTTTTCAAAAATGAAAAAATACCAATATCAATATAAAGAAAAGAGAAAATCTAAAATATATATAGAAAAAAACGCGTGGCAGTGTTTTAAGTACTTTAAAATTGATACTATTAAAATGTGTGTGTTTGTTTTTTTGTTTTTTCTTAATTAAATAGAATGTTTTCGAATTAATGAACAGACATCTGCAATTTTGAGTCATCGGACATTAAATCTAATATCATCTGATATCATGATGATCACACAGACAGACAGCTTTTAGAAATAAAAGCATGGAAAACATTCCGATGAAAAATACAAATTTTGCACAGTTAAAATTTTCGTATATCGTACAAAATTTATTTGGCATTTAAACATTTTCAACGGAATAAAAGCTCATGGTTTTCAAATAGAGCGAAAATACACTGCAAAAATCGAATTTTATTTTCTTCTTTTTTTTTTTTTGTTTTGTCTTGTCTTTAGAGCACTTTTTGTGTCAACTTTTATATTTGGAATAATTATATACTTTGATTATACTAATAACAAATCTATTATTCGGCTTGAGTAGCAAGACTCAAATTGTGATTCAAAAAGTGTTCTTGGGCGTAGAAATTATTCGTCAGTTTATTTAAATTAATATTCTATTCATAAAACATCGAATTCCTTATTTAGTTAAAAAGTCAATACCAAAAATGTATTTTTTCTTTCGATTATATATTTCTTCGACAATATTGTCGAAATTAACGCATATTTTACCTCATTTTACCTTGAAATTTTCATTGTATATTAATCTGAAATAATTGAGTATATATGCATAGGGCAGGGGTATATTTTTGGTGTGCTAAAGTTGGACTTACCATCATATTGTGACTTTTTAATCGCCGATATTTACGTATTTGATTATTTTTTGTTTTTAGACCCAACCAAACCCATCGTAACCAACCACCGTTGTAGCATTAACCGCCAAGATGTCTCACTCCGTGACCATAACACGCACCACCACCAGCACCACCAACACCTCCTACATTGTGCTCAATACGGGCTACATCAAGACCTTTCCCGGCATTCTTAAGCTCTTCCAGCTGGTAAGTGCGACTGACTCCGATACCGAATTGAAAAATAATATAAAAACATTGTTAATTTCGTAGATCATTGGCATCGCTATTGTCACCCTGATGGCGATGAACTACAACACCAATTCGGTGTACTTTCGCGGACATCAGGAGCTGTTTCATTTCCTAATGGCCACCACATTTATGATAGGGACATTTTGTTTATTCCTCGCGTGCATCACATCGCTGAGCACGGGTGGCCTCATCGCCAAGACAATCTATGTAAGTGTGATTTGAATTTAATTGATCTTGATTATGATTATGATTTGTAACTATAACGTTGATCAACTTTCGATTCACAGGAGCTGATCTATCATAGCGTTGCGGTCATTCTGCTGCTCGCCTCGTCCATTTGCCTGCTGCTGAAGTTACGCGACTACAGGCACGATGCCTTTATGGCAGCTGCCGTCCTTGGCCTGGTCAACTGTGTGCTCTACTTCATTAGTGCATTCCTGGCACATCGCTCGTATCGCGGCATTTAAGCGACTCGAACAGTCGCTGGCATTTTACAGAAGGCGCACACCATCAGCATTATTGCAATCAAAACAAAACGATGAAAGAATCAAAATCGTCTACAGCTATATATATATAGCTAAAATCAATTACCGCACAAGCCATACCAGAGAGTCTCTTTGTTTGTACTGTTAAATATTTGTGGCGCTGTTCAGTGGTTACATACTCATAATACTGTCTACAAACACCATTACACATTATTATTATTATTATTATTTGATTTGATTTTAATTTGTATTTTTATAATGTACTTTTTATCTCACTTCTCTGTCTTTTATACCAAACAGCATATATTGTATTCGAATAAACGTGTCTATATGTTTTTATACATGCATTTTTCTTTTCACATACACATTGCTAGCCCCGACTGGCGATCTGAAATTGACGCACAACTAGCCCGACTTCTTCTAGGCTCTTAAATTTGAATACAGTGCGCACTCTACAAGCACAACTGAGTGGAAAAAATCAATAGTTTTTAGCTTAAAATATCATGTTAATTGTCTTTTAGCTTATTCATAAATCTTTGATTTCATATCCAAATGTTACTTGAGTGGGAACAAGAATTCAATGCAGACATTGACGACACCATAAAGTATATGTATATATATATATATATCTATTCATCTATTCATCTATGTATATATATCTATTCAGCATCATAAGTCGACATAGCCACTTACGCTCTTTGTCTGTGTCTTGTCTGTGTCTGTTTTTATTCAAACCGGTCAAACCTAATCTGAACGACTTTGTCGCTTGCAAAGATATTCGGTCCAAACTACTTACGATTGTTATAAAGCTTCTTACATTCTATCAATATCGGACTAGTATATCATAGGCACAGTATATGTATTCTTTGGTGTGTTTAAGCTGTTATTTCACTTTGATTATATAAAAGATGCATAAAATATTATCAAAAATACTATTAAACCATATTGGTTATGCTTTATTTATCACCTAGATTAAATCTGCATTTGCCGCAAAGTGAATGCAACAATTTTTATATCAATTTTGATATTTATTTGTACGAAGTTTTTAATAATGCCCTTTTACTGTCAAACACTGTTAGAACTAAACCAAATTGAAAATGCTTAATTAAAAAAATAAGAACAAATTACTAGGTTATAATAAAATTAAAAATATTTCAACAATGCCTGAAAGAACTAGCAAAATAAAAATAAAGTCAGCTCAAAGATAAGACTAAATTATAACTGGAAGCTGTGATGAGTGCCTCAATGTATCTCAATACAGATCGAGGGAATACATATATATATATATATAATAATAATAATGCTAAAGTACTTTCGATTCTAGCAACTGCATAACTAGAAGTCGCGCTGATCCAAATGAAAGTGATATTGACAGGAGTGGATCAGGAAGAAGACGACGGCAATGCCTATATTGATGGCTATGAAGTACATGAATCCAACGATAAACTCATTGCACCACATCTCCCCGAATGGCAGCCGCTCGTGCAGAATGACAGTGGCTATGACCAGGACGACGGATAGGAGGCCGCCAACGAGCATCATCTACAATACATATACGGTTACTGAGGAGTGGTCAGGGAAGGGTTGGGGCTTGGGGGAAAGCGAAGGCAATGCAACAATTGCTTACCGCATTCGAGGTAGTGAAATTGATATCAAAGTGACTCATATACTGGGCACGTATGAGTAACATGACCATGAACGTGTAGAATATGGTCAGCACCAGAGTCCATTTCATGTAGAAGAGCTCCAGCCAGGTGAGATGCGCATCCTCCACTGCTCCACTGTTCACAATAAATGTGCGATGACAGCGAGCGCTTGCAAGCGTTGCCAGTTGAAATTCTCCAGCTAATGCCGCCTCCTCATCGATGTGGACAATCTGGTTGAGCATGTGGAGCGCACCAAAGCAACAGATCTAAATAAAACATGATCACAACGATTCCACTTGAAATGGGGCCACAGTTGGTTGCTACTCACAAATGCGCAGAGCGCTACAAATCCAATGGTGAAGCCCCAACCCTTGCACATGTTGCAGTAACGAGCCGATGGCAGCGACTAACGGTCACTCTCCGGATCTGCTGCTAGACCTGGTCCAAGACAGTTGCCAGGTGGATTGAGCAGCAGCTGCTTTTCGCATTGTGTGATAGTCAAGTAAACAGTTTTATTTTACAAATGTTTTTGGCGACTTTAATCTTAATCATAAATGTCAATGTCCATGTGTACAAGCGTGTGTGTGTGTGTGTGTGTATGTGTGTAGGTGGCTTTAAAATTAGTCAACATGTGTGTGTGTGTGTGTGGCATGAAGTGATTTGAATTTGATTGCCATCAAACATAAACCAAAACTTTGGCCTGCCGAATCCATTCATCATTCATCATTTCAAGCATGAATATCCCTTGTGCTCTGTCTCTCTCTCTCTCTCTCTGTTTCTCTCTATCTCACTCTCTCTCTGTGTGTGCACCTCTACTGGCTAAACTTGACGCCAATATTGTTGACACGCGTCTGCATGTGCTTGAGCACATCCTGCGAAAAGTCCTCGATGGTGGTGAAGCGACTCTTCTGGAAGCTATAAATGTCAGCGAGAAATGCGAGCAGCTGCTCCCGAAAGTAATGGCAAATATCCCGCAGATTCTCATTGGGGCCGAAGAAGCCCCAGGCCATCAGCGGCGATATCTGCTCCGATATGACATAGAAGTGCGCCATAAAACCATTCTGATATTTCAGCATACGCTTCTTGGCCTTCAGCACCGACCACACAGCCGTCGTGAGTGCCTGCAAATGATTTTAGATTAATCAATAAATTCACTAAACACAATAATATCAATAAAATACACTTTAGATTTTGCTCAATTCAAGTGCTGTCTGCTTGGACCTTGGGCTTAAGTTATTTGATCAGCAACTAGATAGTATATGCACACAAATAGATATATATGTATATATATATATAGTCGTCGATTCGATGAGCTCGATTTGTGAGTAGTGGCTTGGCTTATGTATTCAGTGTATTTGTCCGATTTAGGTTTGCTATATATAGACTTATATATATGCACATGAGGAATGCATGCCAAGTCAAATATATATTTATAAGATATCTAATCGATAATTATGGAAGTGTATAGCTCATTTTTAAATGAATCATCATTCGACACTGCTGGAAATTCACTTGTAAATTTGATTTCAAGAAAAACTCAAGTGTTGAAAACGAAATTTGCCATCTGTTAGATTAGCTCGATCATGATTAATTGGAGCTGGATTTAAGGATTTAAGATATTTGCAGATGCTATTTAAGATTTCAAACTTGGCACTCGCTGATTTCTCTGTGGATTAGCGAGCTATTGCCGACATAGTTGTAAGCTTACCGTCTCCTTGAAGCCATTGGAGAGCCAACGATTCTGGACGACAGCCGTAACGCTGGCTGGTGGCGCATCCAAGTCACGGAACGAGTCCAGTATGATGAAGTCGAGGCAAATGTCGTAGAATGTCATTGCCTTGACGTTGCGCTGCTCCAGCTCCATTTGGATGCACGGCCAATTGCTGGGCTCGTGCAGGAAGTTCACCATATCCTCGTAGCCGACAAGGAACTCTTTGGTATCCTTGTCGCTCAGGCACAACAGATCGGTCAGTATCTGTCTGCCCGCATCGCAGATCCATTGGCCCACCGCCGGATCTTTGAATAGAAATTGAAAGGCGAGCCGTACACAGTGCAGCTTCGCCAGATATTCGGTGTCGCTGCTGCAGTGCATCAGCTCCGATCGTATTGTACGACAGGGCACTGTGTATTCATCATGATGCTTGAGCGCCGTCTGAAACAGCGGATACTCCTCGTACGCCGTCTCAATAAACGACTCGAATTCTCGCAGATCGGCCACCTGGTCCAGGGCCGAGGCGAAACTCTCTGCCGAATCGAAATTGGGATCGGAACCGGTGCGACTCAAAACGCTGCCCGATTTGCGGGAGCGTCGATCATCGTCATCGTCACCAATGGCCCCCGTCGCCGCAGCCATGCCATCCTCCTCGGCTTCGTCTATGGAATGTTCCTCGCGAAACAGCACCGACCGCTGATCGAGAAAGAGGAGTTCGCTCTGCTCCTGCAGCGTATATGACATTTCCAGCAAATTCTGGATCTCACGACAGAACTCCGAATCCTCGGCCGTTGTCAGCGAGGCGGGCATACCGCCCGGGGAATAATGTGCGGCCAGTGCATCCTCCCAAAAGTTAATCACCGTGTCCAGCGCCTCCATGCCCATCACGCCCAGCTGCTGTGCCGTCAGCTGTGTAACGACACCAGCCGCACCAATGCCAATCCCAACGCCAACCGTCGTCGGCTGATTCTGAGCGCCAGCGCCAATGGAGCCCGAGGCGAGTGACAAACGATCCGAATAGGCGACGGTGGAGCCAACGGGACTGCCTGAACGTGCCGATGCCTTGGAGCCGGCTATCGATACCAAATCATTGGGACTGCGCATGCTGTTCCGTGTCCGTCGTCCGGTATATTTGCGCACCCGTCGCTGTGGACGCGGCGGCTTCCGGCGCCGCAGGAAACGCGAGAGGACGCCCATCAGCGCCACACCGGCAGTCAGCGAGAAGAGCACCACCTGAAAGCGATTGAAGATTAAGCATGAAATGATTCCCATTCAGCGATTCACTCACTTTTGTTGTGGTGGAGACCCGAAAGGGCAGAATGCTCCAACCCGAACTGGGCGCCATGCGATTCATGGCTCAGCTCGCTGTGGAATAATTTGGGACCGCTTTGAGGTTAGACTGGCTGTGGCCCAGTTACGCGCGCAACTTTCAAGTCGCGTGCACATTGGCCGCTCTTTTCCCTGCTCCCCTACGCACTTCCCTTGTGGATCACGTGTTTGTTGTTGCTGCTGGTTGACCTTTTGGATTGGGTCCACATTCAGCATGCAAAGGCGTGAAGTTGCTGTGATGTTGCGTATCCACAGAGAGTCAAGCGCAACTTTCACTTTCTCTCACTCAACAAAAAAACACGACAATTGCATCACAGTCCAACGTTTGCTCCACAAATACGAATAGCGGCGAACTGTCTGCATTCCATTGCCAACAAAAAAGCGTACCGATATTCGTCTATCGATGTATCGATTGCACTGTGAGTATTTTCACACTGTTACAAAGTTAACAGAGTCTGTTGCGTTTGCAGTGGCACAAGCCGCTAACACCTACTGTAGTGTGAACGGCTGACGCTGCGCCTTAAGCTAAAATTAAAATGCCAATGCCAAAAGTACTGTGATAGCGCTTGCCATCGCATCTACGCTGTATCGAAATATCTTGTTACTTGTCAATTTCGATATAACTGTGCCCTCTTCGGCTTACGTTATTTTTATATCATTAACGTTATAGGAAATAACTTGTATGAGAATTTTCCAGTTTTGTTCTTTTAAATTTTTCCGCCCTTTGTCAGCTGTTTCAATGCAGCACAACTGTGCAGTCGCTTTACAGCAATGTCATTTCTCTGCTATTGAATAATAATCGATAACATTGCAGTAAGTGAGCAGCACATCAGAGCAGCAGCTTAACAGCTTATGATTTTCTTACTACTTTACATCTGAGCGCAAATTGTGCGCCATTTTTTAAATTGTATCAAAGAGGAACAAAAATCAGCTGTTGGCCATTTCGATAATTAAAAACCAGATAAGAAAATACTAGCACACATTGCGCATGCATATTATTACTGTAAGCGATTAAAATGCTTTTGTGACGTCATCATTGGCTTTGTGTGCTTAAATTTCTTATTGAATTAACGACTATCTGGGCAAGGCTGTCATTTTTACTCACACACACACAAGACAGGGCGCGAAAATTTGAATTACTGTGAAATACACATTTTCTCAATTCCATGCAAATTTATAATGAATTTATTGAATTACAGTTTAAGCATTTTTTATTTTTGTTCACAGATTTGGATAGCGTTATTAAATATTATTTCGTCTGATTAGAGATAAAACTGCAAAATTGCATTTTTGATTAGATTAAGTGATGAACACCACCAGATAATTACGATCATAATTACAAATATCATTGTTTATTTATGAAAAAACAAAAAACAATTGCCGATAACAAAACGGGTTGTTTTCCTTAATCTTAATTTTCAACAAAAATCACACTGAGAACAGTTAATTGAATATATATTTCATTAGTCAACTGCTTATATTTTCCACAAAAATCTTAATCAATTAATAATATAGGAAAATACGGAAAACCAGTTAAATAAGTTACATAATTTAGTACTTGTGCACATATTATGTAGTTACTTAAAAGTATAGAGTACCTTAAATTATAGATTCGACGTATTTTCCGTTGAAGGCTCTTTAACTGAATTTAATTAATTTGAATTTGACAAAGTACAAGCATATTTATAAGAAATGACTGGCCGGTTAGGTTTTTTTTTAGAGCTTTCAGCGTTGTAAATTTCATCCAGGGACTTACGGAATTTGTATTCATAATAAGATAGGCGCTGGAAATATATTTTCATGGCGGATATAAAAGCAGATTAAAAAAGGTTTACACTTTTCGTAATCAAAATTTAAGGTTGCTTATTAAACAGATCAATCTTGTGCGCCACATAAGCATATTTGTGCCGACAGATAAGCCAGTTACGCCCACACCCAACTCACCCCATTCTACCCATCCCACCCAAGTCTGTCTGTAGACCACAGGAAAAATGCTTAAGTTGAATTTTGAAGCGAATACCAACCCCAAACCCCGACACAGAACCACAGCAAGAACCATGAGCCCAAAACACTAAGTGAATTCAAGTGAAAATAGAACAAAAGAAAATGGCGGTCTGTAAACGTGATACTAAAATTTCCTTGCGCCTTTTCGAAATTTCCCAAGGATACACACACACACTGAGAGAGAGGGAGAGAGAGAAGGTTGTGCCAGAAAGAGATACCGCACATGCTGCACAGTGGGCGGGATTCCATTCACGGCAACGTCGCCCAACAGGGGGCGTGTGGCCTGTGGCATTTAATTAAGTGCTACAACTTGCGCACAACCCCCTGGCGGAGACCAGACGTACCATTTCGTTCTGCTCCCCACTCCCCCTCTTTGTACAACACGACAACAGGACGATCAGGACGAGTCAGCTGAACAGCGTGCGATTTTTTAAAATTAAAACAAGCCGATGATTGATGTACTCGAGGCTAATAAGTGTCGGCAAGTTTGTTGCTGTGCGGCAACTTAAGCTACAGAGTGGCAGAGAGAGACAGAGAGAGCGGGAGAGAGAGAGAGCAGTAGAGACACTGAGCATTGGATAGAGAGAGATAGAGCGAGAGAGACAGAGAGAGGTGACAGCAACAAATGTGCTGCAAAGCCGTTGGTTGGCGAGCAAACGCAGCAATAATGAATAATAAATTTTATTCGCATTTTAAGAACAACTGTGGAAAGCGTTCGACTGCGACCTACTCTATAAAAATGGTGGGAAATTGCGGCTCATTCATCACTAGTCTTATGGATTGAATGAAAAAAGAAAGAAATAATAAAACTAAAACTAAAAAGAACTGCCATCTTAGGCATACATAAACTTGTAGACCACACCTCGAATTATTAATAACTTTTTCTGCACTTTTTCACGATTGGATGTGAACTGAATAATCCACAATTGTGGAATTATACAATCGATCGATTTCGACCGATTGTTCCTATCGCTGCTATATGAGAGACTGGTCCCATTCAGTACATCCGAAGTCATAAGTTCCCGAAGTAAAAATACAAAAGATAGCCCCAAAAACTGAGGGCATACAACTAATTTAAGAAAAATAGGATACAAAAGGAAGAAAGACATGGATTTATCGACTCTGCTGGTGCAGCTGATCAAGAATAGATTTATCTTATGCGGTCGCAGGTATATATAAATATATATGTTAATTGTGTTTCTTGTAAAATAAGCTTAGATATTTCTATTCTCCGACGGGCTATTAGCTGAATATTTCACATTTGCGTAATTATATTGTAGCACAAACATGTCATGTTTATCTACGCCTACTTTGATACCAAGACTTAGAACTCATCTTTTAAGCGGTTGTTCCTATTTTAGCTGTATGATATAGTGACCTAATCTGGTCGCCTTTGACAGTATCTTCTTGGAAAACTGAGGAACTTCTTTGCATAGAAACAGAAATACCGACGGATATAGCCATATCGACTCGGCAAGAGATATGAATCAAGAATACATACACTTTGTCGGGTTGGAGACGTATCTTTGAATGCTTTATCAACTTGCGTGCCACAATGTATACAAAAATTTGTATATACGATTGAGAATTGCATGTTTGTATTAATTATTAATATTTGGTGGCCTGCTTCGACTTCTATAAAAATAAAAAATATAGATCAGTGAAAATGAGCTTCAATTTGTTTGAATGAAAAACAAACATGTTGCATAGAAAAGAATTTAATTTTACAAAAAGCATTTTATTGCTCACAGTAAGATGGAAGTTTGTGTCCTTCTAAAAGCACTTATTTTCCTTTTCTTACTTCCTTGGCACATTTTTCTAAAATTAAAGTTAAAATCTAGTTTCTCCTTCATTTTTTATGCGAACTTTTATATTAGTTACTATTACTATTTCTATTTTCAGAATATCAAAATTTAGAAATATTATTCAGAAAAAATGTATAAGAAATAGAACAAAAATCTTTCTAATTTTAAGAATATATTTGTCTTACGCTTTGAAATTATTTATATTATATACAAGAAAATATTCATTTCATTTTGCAGCAATTCTATTAATTGCTCGGAAAAGTTTTTGATTTTGTCTGCTTTAATTGTCAGGCGACACTCTTTGGTTGGTTAATTCAGAAATCTTTGTATTATCATCGTGCTATCTCAGATGAAAGAGTTCAGTTGCAAATGCAGCAACGTAAATCTGTTAATTGCCAGCCACGACACGTACCGACCTGAAGGTAGTGCGGTAGTGCCCCTGCCCCTGCCCCTGCCACTGGTGCCTGGTGACAACAAGAAACCGCACAAAGAGACATTTTCAATTAAGCGATTACCCTTGCTTGGGTGTGGGCTGTGTCTTTTTTTGGGGCATGTGTGGGGAAGTAAGTGTGTGTGTGTGTGTGTGTGTGTGTGTGTGTGTGTGTGTGTGTGTTTTAATGCGTGCTACATGGCAAGGCATGAAATGAACGCTGACGCATCATTTGTTGACCAACGGACAGCAGAGCGCTTGGCCAACGCATTTGAGTCCGGTGAAATAAAAGAAATGCGATGTCATAAATCAAGAAATCGGCAAATAAATTTCAATGCGCCAACATTTTAATATACAAAATAGTCGGGCACAGAGACAATGCACCTCACACTGCAACTACAATTATACTATCTATAGTTTCCACTTAGCTGCACAACGGTGGCACTTACCGGACGACGCTCACCGATGGTGCCTTGGATGGCTTGTGGATGGGTTGTGCTTTGGCTTTGGTTTTGGTTTTGGTTTTTGGCTGGGTTGAGTCGGTTCAACTCCGGCTCCGGCTCCGGCTCCGGTTAGTGGTTGGTGGGGCGTAAATCATAACGGCATCATATAATGGCTAATGTGCACTCATAAAAGGATAAGCGCATGCCATATGCTTTTCGGGCGGTGGTGCGTTCAATGGTCGGTGGTTCGGTGGTTCGGCGTGTCCGACTATTCCCCGACAGTCACTTAGGACTAGCCAGAAGCGCAGCAAAATTATATTTTGTGTGCGTATCATTTCTTATGGACGCTGACATTTATGGGTCATTTGCTCGACCAAAGTTGACCATAATCGAATTTATAATGCCCTATCTCAGTATTATATGAATTAAGGCAACTGTATTCTTCAACAATTTCTGGCGATTTTCTTAAACTCTCATTGAAATGTGTTCAATAAGTCTGTCGTTTATTGTTTGCTGAACTCTATTTATGATTTTGCCTTTCACTGGCTCCAAGCCAGTTATATTTTTTATATATACTCCGATATATATTTCGAGCAGCGTCGGGATCCATTTTTAGCCAGCTGCGAAGCTTGAAACTAATTTTTAAACTAATTTTCAG